TCACGCCCGGGCCGCTCCACGCGCCGCGCCCCGCAGCCCGAGGCCCGCAGCCGGCGAGGGTGGCGGCAGCGGCGGCGCATGGGGGGGCGGCACACATGCCCGGATTGTGACGTCCAGTCTGGTTGCTGTGGCAACCCCATCCCATCGTTCCGGCAGCACGACTAGTTACCGGCGGGGACAAGTTGGGAGACTAGTCCTGAGCGCCGGGGGAGCGCGGGGCCCGGCGGCGCTCCGGCAGGGGGAGCCGTCGAGGCGCCGCGCACCCGGGACCCGACGGCCGAGCCTGCAGCGGGGACCGGGCGGCCCGGAAAACGCCGCCCCGGGAACCTCGGCATCCTGGACACGGCTGGCCGCGCCCCGCAGGCGAAGGAGCCCGGCCCCGTCATCGCGGGCGCGGGGCGCGGTCCCCGGGGCCAAGAGCCGCGAGCTCCCAGCTCCCCACCGGCTCCGGCCTCTACCTCTCCGATCCTCCTGAAAGGGCATGAGAAGGAAACTGTGGGACTCTAGATCCAGCCTGGTGCCTCCAGAAAAAGCCCTGCAGGCTGGCTCTTCCCTGCCCGGCACCCTGCCCTCGCTCCCGCGTGCCTGCTTCCAAAGCCCAGACCCCTGGGGTGGCACGGCTCTGCGTGCTCAGCGCCCCAAATCCCCACCCTGAAGCGACACCTGTCGCGGAGAGAGAAGGAGCCGCCAGCCCTGGGTTTTAAGGGTGAAGATGGAGGCCGAAGCCCTGGGAAGCAAGACCAGAGTTTCGAGTGAGCGCGCTCAGTCCCGCTGCAGCGAGTCAGAGCTGCTTTCAGAGCGCTGGAGTTTCAGTGGCCACAAGGTCACCAAGACCAGAAGGGCCAGTAAAGGGAGGGCACCTCCATGTCACAGCCTGTGCCCAGCACCCGGGAACTCCCCTGGAAACCCACGATGCTGCCACCCAGCCATCACCAGGAAGGCACTCCATGTCCTGGCACCTTTGGGGAGCAAAGAAAACCACGTCCACTTCGCCGAGGGTCCCCAGAGCAGCACCTCTTGGGGAGGCCGCCACAACCCAGCCTACTGGCCAGAAGGCAGGGGCACCCAGGGGAGGGCTGGCCAGACCTACAGTAAAACTGCCTCTGGTGCCATCCACACCAACCACCAGCTAGCACCCCTGGGCACGCCCAGGCCCATCCACACGGCCAGGATCCAAGTGCAGGCCGCTGGAAATCCTTCTGCACATATCGGATTTTGTTTTCAATGCTAGGAACCAAACCCAGGGGCTGTCTTAACACTGAACCCCTTTTTAAACAGTGGCACAGTTTTACATTTATTAAAGGTAGAAAAAAACAGGCTCTGCAGAGCAAGTTTGAGCAAAGTAAAAGCAGGAGAAAGGGAGAAAAATAATTTTTTTTAAATATACCGGAGATTCGATAGCCCAGCCCATTGTTTGTCTTTTATTTTGAGACAGGGTCTAAGTTGCCCAAGCTAGGCTTGAACTTGGGACCCTCCTGCCTCAGCCTCCCAGAGTGCATGGGCCACCACACCCAGCTTCTCGGAGCACACTGTAGTCAGAGACTTTGGATCAGCACAGCCAGGCCACCTGCAGGTCCAGGCTGAGAAATCAAAAGGCCACCATCAGTCACCGCGAGCAGCGACCAAGGGAGCCTGGTCACTCCCCGGGAAGGGGTGGCCAGCTCCCGCCAGGGACCTGTGCTCTGGGCCGGGGAAGCCCTGGGCTCCCCACATGCCCACCTCCCTGCCTACCCCGTGCCTTGCTCACAGTGGGCCTTGGGCCCTTCTGAGACCCTCTGCCCCACTGCCAAGAAACTTCGACCTAACATTTCTCTGGCCCCGCCACGTGTGTGCGCAGATGCAGGTACACTCCGTCCACCTTGGCTCCAACCCCAAGGAGGTCAAGATCCTGTGCAAGGCGAAGAGCTCCAACTGCTTCATTCTCAACAATTTAGAGCGGAGATGTTCATCACTCGTGATGCTCTCTCCACCTTGTTCTTCTGGTGCCTGCAGCTGAGTTACACTAGCTAGGGACCAAAGGCAAGACAAAAATTGAGAGGGTAGAGACGGGTATGGAAGCACAGGTCTGGGATCCCAGTACTCAGGAGGCTGAGGCAGGAGGATCGAGGCCATCCCGCACTACATAGCGAGATCATCTCAAAAAAAAAAAAAAAAAAAGGAATGGTAGAAACAAATGGGCTTTGACCAGGCCTGGTGGGCACACCTGTAATCCCAGAACAAGGGAGGCTGAGGCAGGAGTATCCCCGCGAGTTCGAGGCCAGCCTGGGCTATACAGCAAGCCCCTGTTGGACAAAAAACTGCAGTAATTTTTAAAAGAGAGCTCCCACTATTGTTAAACTATTAAATGCCCAAGGGCATTTTCATGACAGTGGACCCAAAATGCCTGATGTTAAACATCGATCCCTAAAAAGGTAGACATCCCATAAACCCTGACGCTATGACAAGCCTGTCATTAAGGACAGTCTCGAGACAGGATTCTCATCTTTGCTGACCTCAGCTTATAATTACACCGCAGTGGCAACTCAAAAATCAGAACATTTTTAAAATTATGTTGGTTATAAAATGAGGACCGAGGATGTAGCTCAGTGGCACAGTACCTGCCTGGCGAGCACAAGGCCCTAAGTTCAATTCCCGGGACCTAAGAAGTAAATACAAAATTAAAAATAAACTGGGGCTGGTGGCACATGCCTGGGAGGCTGAGGCAGAAGCCGAAATTCAAGCCCAACCGGGAAACTAACTGACAGCAAAAGCCTGTCTCAAAATACAAAATAAGAAACCTGGTGTGTAGCTGTGTGAAGGCCCTGGGTTCAATCCCCAGTGCTAAAATTAGGTATATAAAATCAAGGATAAGACTTTTTCAAGAGCTGAGCTGCAGTAGTAGCCGATCACTTTACTGGTCTCTAATCCTACACTCTCCGGGTCCTGCCTGGGGCAGTTCCTTCCACCACTGAGGCTGGTGTGGACCCCATGGCCACGAGGGGACCCAGGCTTCTGGAGGGCAGTGAGGTGCCGGTGGCCTGCATGGCTGCAGTGTCCTCCGGATGGAAGCCCCGGTGTCCCTCGACAGCACAGAGACCCAGCTCCAACCAGCCTTTCCCGGGTGTGGATGGCCTGGGGTCTTGGTGAGGCCAAGCGGCTCAGCAAGGGAACCTTGGGCCAGAGCAGGAAGCAGAGCCAGCGGAGCCCAAGGCGGCTGGCAGTCCTAGGCCATATAGCCAGGTTGTGGCCGAAGGAGCCTGGAGAAAACTGCCCTGGATCCCCAAACCCACCCAAGTCGGGAAAACGGCCGCATCAGTCTTCTATCCTGGTTTTTTGTTCCAGATCGGCACCATTAGGGCATCACTGAAAACATCATCCTCCTCCGGCTTCCTTCCGCAGGGCTGGCAGGCGCCCACACTGACGAGGGGCAGCCTACCGCTCACCCCAGACAGCCCGCTTCCAGGGTTTCCTGCTTCCAGGATTTCCGTCCCTCCCCACCCACTCACACCTGTGGGGCTTAGCGGGCAAGATCTGAACCTAAGAAAGCAGGTGCAGCTGCAAATGGTGGTGTGCACCTGTAATCCCAGCACTGGAAAGGCTGAGGCAGGAGGATTGCAAATTTGAGCCCAGCTGGGCAACTGAGACCCTGTATCAAAATTAAAACATAAACGAAGGACTGGGGAAGTAGCTCAATACAAAGGCCCAGATTCAATCTCCAGTACCAGGAAAGAAAGTCACAGAAGGGGAGGCCTGCAGTTTTCTGGAAGGAAAACGTTGTACCTTTAGAAATGTCTGGACTGTAGCACTCGGGGACCTCTCATTTCCGGGCTGCACCACACTCACGGGAAGGAAGGGTATTTGCAGCAACCAGAGCAGGTGAGAACAAGCTTATGCAGCCTTCTGTGACTTTTGAGAACTTAAATCATAGCTTAAAACTCCGCAACTCTGAAGCCAGCCGTGCTGGCGCATGCCTGTGATTTCAGCCCCTGGGAGGCTGAGGCAGGAGGATCACCACAAGTCCAAGGCCAGCCTGGACTAGGTAGAGAGAGATGCTGTCTCAAAAATGAACAGAAAAAATCCTGCAGGGCTGTGATGTTTCTGTGCTCTGCCATTTGATGGGGCAGGTGAGGCACGAGGACCGTGGGCTAAAAGCTGCCCCGGGCACTTTTACGGGACCGTGTGCCCGTATCAGGGAGTTCAAGCCCCCACACGTCCCGACCAGAAGGCACAGTGTGCAAAGCTGTTCTAGAACTCAGTGCATGGCAGCTCCAGATCTGAGGCCAAACTGCAGAGTGAAGAGCACACTAACAGAGGTCTCTTTCCCTCTGTACCCAACGAAGAGCAAGGTACTTGTCAGCTCAGCTATTCACAGTGAGGACGAAGTTTAACGTGAACATGCCAGTCCTGTCAAAAACAAGGCTCGCACAATAGTAGCCATGTGTTAGCCACTTTAATATAAAATGTGATCAAAACCCAATTACAAGAGTTCAAAAAGGCATAGAAAAAACAGTAAGTTTCAATTTTATTACAAATCTCAAAATCTGGGATGTTTCTTAATGCTAAATTCAGCCCAGACCCTTTTTACAACCAAACTGAAAATTACCACATAGAAACATCAACGGAACAAGTAAAATTTGCAAATCCAAGCCACAGACTTACAAAGTTAGCATCACGGTAAGAACACAATCCAAGACAACCCAGACCTCCCTCAGGTTTGAAAGAAATCCTGCCTTCCATGAGGAAATCTGCAAACAATTCTGCTTCAAGAGATTTGCATAGAAATGGAAAACGAAGAGCCTTTGCCACAGGTGAAATTGCAGAGCCCCGACGTGCCAGACTCAATCCTAGAAGGACTGCACATTAACTTGGAGCCCGGACAGAACTTAAACATTTCATTTCCAGTGGAGTCAGCTGTAGACAAGCTCTTTAAAAATGTTAATTTTCATGCAGAACTGCCTGGATTTCAGAAGGGCTCCTAAGGCATCGGGGCTCTTCAGTCGCCCTCAACACCTTTAGGCGAGGCTGCTTCTTCACCCCAGTACCTAGCAGGCCATCAGTTTGTGTCTGGACCTTTTATTTGGGGATCAAACCCAGGGCCTCAAAGTTAAACAATCACTCTGCTACTGAGCTACAACCTCAGCCCATCTGTAGCCTACTTGACAGGAAGTCCATTTGGAGATTTAAGAGGCAAGCAGGTTTCCCAGGCAACTAACCCCACTCCTCCTGCCCTAACGGGCAAGCCCGAGCCCTGGGCATGGAAGGGCTCCCACCTGAGACAGGCCACACCTGGAAGCTCTGCCGCTGTCTCCAGCGCCCTCTGCTGGACACCAGAATGGCAAAGACTTGCAGAAGCCACAGTTTACAAATTCATTTCTGTACACATTTACTTCAGAACTTTCACAATTGCTCTCCGAACCCTTTTATGGAGAGCAGAATATGCAAGAAGGCTAAAGGATCACATCTTATTTCTATAGGAAGAAAAAGGATTAGCATATGTAACTGTGAGCATCAAGAATAACTTGGAATTAAAAAGTAGACAAATGTCCCAGAAACCTGCATTTTATTGACACTGCCATTTTCCTGGAAAGAAATCACCTATCTTGCTTTCCATGACTGAGGAACCACATTATATACTCACTCCTGAATCTTCCTTGGAGATCACATTCAAATGAAACTGAATGTTACATGTTTTAAAATAAAAGGACAAGTCTGCTGTCCATCTCCACACCCTCCTCTACCGGCTCAGGGGTGGATGGTTCTCAGTTCCCTCAAGCAGCCTCCTCCTGACTTTCTGGTGTTGCCACCCTGGGAACTGGAGTTTTCAAGCAGAAAAAAAGTCTAACTGTAAGTGAGCAGCAGCCCAGTGAAGCCCATGGCTGTGACTGCCAATTTCCCCGTCAATCCGTACTGTAGAGATACAAGGATATACCACCGTTTTGGTTCCCAAGTTTTATTCAAGAACTCATAAAAAATATTCCAGACAAAGGAGTTTTAATCCTCATCTTCCTCCTCCTCTTCATCCTGGTTAATCTGGAAGTAACGTAATTCGTAACTCTCTTTGCTGTTAGCAACTACGCGCAACCAGTCACGTAGATTATTCTTCTTCAAATATTTTTTGGTGAGATATTTCAAATACCTGCAGAAAAAGGACACTTACAGATGATCTACATTCTCAACATTTCAACTTTCTTACTCCTTTTTTCAGACAGGGACTATGCTGTGTGGCCCAGGGTGGCCTCGAGTTCCAGGCCAGTGGTGGCACTCAGGCCGCAGCGGGCAGTCTGGACACCTAAGAGGTCCCCATTGCTGCTCTCAACACTGCTCTACCAAGGGGGTGCAGGCTGGCAGTGGAGTCTCAGGCCTGGGATGTGCCAGGCAGCACCCAGCATGTGACGACAGCACCCCTGCTGGTGCCCTCTCCAGCAGCACTCTGCTTTGGGGCTTTGTTCTTTCTGGGTGGGTCTGATTATATGGCCTGGGCAGCTCTTAAACTCCTGGCCTCAAGCAGTTCTCCTGCCTCAGCCTACTAAGTAGCTTGGACAGAAGGACATACAACCTTATGAGATTTAAAGGGAAGTTTTTGGTTGTTTGTTTTTTGAGGTGCTGAGGTGTTCGGAACCCAGGGCTTGGTGCGTGCCCAGATCTTCCTAATCTATGCCACCTGTCGCCTTAGCTTGGGTGGGTGCTGCTGCTCTGAAGGCGGCTCCACACCCAATCCCACTCCAGCAGGCCCCCAGGAGCCGGCACTGTGCTTTCTCTTGAACCTCTTCTGCACCCCTGGGCCAGCCATAAAGGGGAGGGAAGAGGGGCTGCAGTGCCACGCAAACCCTGCCAGGTAAATGGGCAGGGCCGGGCCTTGGCTTGTCCCACCCCAATACCAGCCCCGAGATGTCTCTTCAGCTGCTGGGACAGCTGTGGGCTGCACACACCCGGATGTTAAAACCAACACACTCGGCCTCTCTGGGAACCACGTGCTGGTGGGTGGGCGGCCAGCAGAACCCGGGCAGGGCTGAGGGCTCCGCTCCACCCCCGTCAGTCAAGTGGTCGTTCAGCTGCCAAGCACTCCGCTGTCACTTGCGATTCCCATCATACTGTGTTCCGAGGGGGGCTTCACCCACAATCTCAGGCAGTTTGACAATTCTCAGAATGTTAGAAAAATCACCAGTTCTGAGACAAGACAAAGTTGTAGATAGGAAACACTCCCACATGTTTCAGGAAAATAAAACTAATAAAACTAAAAGTAAAAAGGAGCCAAAGCTGGGCACAGTGGTGCACTCCTGCAACCCCAGCGCTCTTTGAGGCTGAGGCAGTAGGTTCGTAAGTTTGAGCCCAGCGTGGCCAACTTGGCAAAACCCCGTCTGGAAATAAGGAAAGGAGGGGAGGTTCCCAGTACCAAGGACCCAGGTCCACAGTGTCCAAAAAGGGGGAAAAGCCGTACAAGACAAAAGGCCCCTGCCCTGGGTAAAGAACAGAAAACCTGTGAAGACTGAGGACAGGGCGCTGTGTCTGGCTCCTCCTCACAGCTCCCAGTGAAGGGGGCACAGGAAGATGGAGGAACCCTCCCCACGGGCAGCACTGGCCGAGGCCCAGAGGCTGGATGGTCTGTGCATCCCGGGAAGCCCCGCTGCAAGTGTGCTGCTGTCACATTCCCTCCCAGCACACGGCTCACAGAGGCCAACCACAGCCAGCACCCGGCAGCACCCAGTTGCCCTGTCTGACTCGGTGGAGGAAAGCTCGTGCGCGCACGCCCAGACTCTGTGAGGTGCCTGCAAACTCGGCCACCCACCTTCGAAGCACCATACCAGGGCGGGGCCCAGGCCCGTCAACTAAGCTGCACCACAGCCCTTTCTGCATTTTATCCTTAGACAGGGTCTTGCAAAGTCACTAAGTTGCCCAGGCCAGGATCAAACATGTCATCCGCCTGCCTCAGCTTCCCAGCATGCTGGGATAGATAACTGGCTGGACTTGTGAAGCTTTTCAACCTCACCCTACGGAAGGAGGAGGGCAGAAGAATGCCTCTTGCTGAAGAAGAAAGACGGGCCTCACAGGAATGAACTGGAGAGGTTCCAGTCTGAGCTGAGACCCCTGGTTCCTCATCCAGGGCTGTAATAACCCTTATGGAGAAACAAAGTGGGATCAGCACTAAAAGGTCTGCCAACTATGGTGCCACATGCCTGGAATCCCAGCATTCCGGGAGGCTGAAGCGGGAGGATCCCAAGTTCAAGTCCCATCTGGCAAAGTCAGCAAGACCCTGCCCCAAAATACAAAACAAGCCGGGCACGGTGCTATAAGGCTGTAATCCCAGTTCTGGGGAGGCTGAAGCAGGAGGATCACCACAAGTTCGAGGCCAGCCTAGACTACATAGTGGAGACTCTCTTTTTTTTGGTACCGAGCATCAAACTTGGGTCCTTGCGCTTGCACAGCAGGTGACGAAACCACTGAGCTAAATCCCCGGCCCCTGGAGACTATCTCTTAAAAAAACTGAAAAGTCTGGGCACTGTGGCACACACCTGTACAGTCAGCTTTCGGGAGGCTGAGGCAGGAGGACTGCTATAAATTTGAGGCCGGTCTGTACTACACGGCAAAACCCTGTCTCAAACAAAGTACAGATCTCGTCTCCACCTGGGGCAGGTATTTCAGTAAACACAGCCTGGGTTACACAGTGAGACCCTGTCTCAAGACACTGAAAAATAAAACTAACAAAAGAGGGGCGGGTGGCGTGTGGTCAGTGCAAAGGCTGAGTCCAAAGTTGGACTGCATATGCTGATACTCATTCACGCCTCACACCAGAGCCGGTTCCAGTCATGAGCAGCTGTGACTACAAACAGACCCTTCCACAGCGGCGGGCCAAGTAGGGGACAGCCCCGTGTACCTTTTGGAAAAAGGCACCTCGGAAGTCACGGTGATCTTGCTCTTGCTCCTTTCGATGGTGACCACCCCTCCACCGAGATTCCCGGCTTTGCCATTCACCTTGATTCTCTCCTGGAGAAACTGCTCCTGTGGAAATCACCAAATGGATGAATTAGTGAAGCGGCAGGTTCCCAGTCCAATGGCAGGACAGTTTCTGACAATGCAGATGCTTTGTTTTGTACCGGGGATGATGGAACTCGGGTCCTTGCGCTTTCAGGGCAGGTGGCGGAACCACTGAGCTAAATCCCGGGCCCAATGCAGTTGCTTTTAAAATGTTGTCTTTAGGGCCGTGGATGTAGTTCAGTGGTCCCACTGTCTGCCTCGCAAGCGCAAGGTCCCCCCAAGTTTGATCCTGGGTACCAAAAAAACAAAAAACAAAAACAAAAACAAAAAATAAAATAAAATAAAATAAAATGTTGTCTTTAGTGATCACAAATCAGCCATTCGGTCTGAAATCCAGGAACAGCAGGGAGGAATGGCACCCTATTGACACACACTATGAAAGTATCCAACATGACACAAGGTGAGACATGGCTTCCCATGGAAGGCTCAGCGGGCAATATGCTTGTGAGTCAAAGGTAAAAAGCAGACAGGAAGCCAGAATAATAGCACATGCCTGTAATCCAAGCTATGTGGAAGGTTGAGGCAGGGGTGTTTCAGTTTGAGGGGAGCCTGGGCAACATAGCAAAAATTTGTCTCAGGGGAAAAACAAAACAAAAAACTACTGGGGTGTACCTCAGTACTGCAATATTTGCTTGGCACACACGAAGCCATGGGTTCAATCCCCAGGACCACAGAAGAGTAGACAAAACACTCAAGGTCAAACTTTTGTAAAGAACAGGTAACCAGTCCCAGGTGTGGTGGGGCACGTCTGTAATTACAGCACTCCAGAGGCTGAGCCCTGAAGCTGACTGCTAAACAGACTTCAAGGCCAGGCTGGAATATGTAGCTAGATCCTGTCTCAACAAGAAAACCAAACCGCCAGATGTGGTGGCATACACCGGTAATCCTAGCACTTGGGAGACTGAGGCAGGAGGATCATCAGGAATTCAAAACCAGCTTGAACTACACAGCAAGACTCTGTCTCAAAAAACCAAAAAAGAACCAACGAGCAACTTATGAAGCTAAGGGATATTAGGCACTGTTCTCAGTACCATCATAGAGAGCAGAGTAGAAAGAACAGAGACGCAGCAACCAGCACAATCACAGCTGTGCCCGGCCCACAAGCACAGCTCAAAGGAGGCAGCAGGCCAGGAGCCCAACACCAACTCTCTTCCAACCCCTAGTATCAGCTGGTTAGATGGGCCCAAAAGGGACCCTTTCCTGTGTGGTCTTGCTACTGTGGTGAGAATGTCCCTTTTAGTACAAATTTGGAATCCTCAGGACTGGGGTTGTGGCTTGCTGGCCTTGGGTTTGCGCCTCAGCACAATTTTAAAAATTACAGTTCTTTTAGCTGCAATAGAAAACATGTGAACTGCAGATGGGGCAGTGACTACATCAGGAATTTTCTGCACCCTTAAGACACATAAATGACTTGGGTGTTCTACCTATGGAAGCTTTTAGGACAGTGGTGGCAAACCTATGGCACACGTGCCACAGTGGGCAGGCACGCAAAGCCCTCTCTGTTGGCACACAAGCCAAGTTGCCCAGCACTGCCCCAGCAGCTGAGCACAAGGTAACAGCACACACAGGACCCATGCACGTGCTCGCAAAAGAGTAGCAGGGCCAGGCAATGATGTCATAAGCACTGTGGACACTCGGTCTCTAAAAGGTTCACCATCCCTGTTCTAGATGCTATTCATACACATATGCTAAGGAAATGGCTTGTAGGGAAAGGATGCAGGGAGAACAGCAGGGCAGAGCCAATGCGTAGATACCAAACGGGAAGAAACCACCATGGTTAGAAGGGAAGAGGCCAGAGAAAAGCATGAAGCCACAGGGGAGGGAGCTGAGCCAACTGAGCAACTTGAGGGACAGGGATATGACAGGTATCTGCGGGAAGGCAGTGAGCCACAAGAGGTCACCCAGTTCCATCCTGTACTACTAGTGGCCACAGGCCAAGCCCATACATTTTTTTTTTTGGTACCGGAGATTGAACTCGGGACCTTGTGCTTGTGAGGCAGGCGCCGGAAACACTGAGCTAAATCCCCGGCCCCAGCCTTCACATTTTTATCGCGCGCGCACGCGCGTGTGTTAGTGGGGGATCAAACCCAGGTGCCTGCCACTGAGCCCCAGTCCCTCAGAGCCTACATAATAAATGTAACTTTAGGAGACTTCTACACTAAGTCCACTTCCCTCGAGCGGGGCTGTTGGAGACAGAACTAAATAAGCTACAAGGAAAAATGCAGCAGTGAGATGCTACAATTCAACATTGAAGTGAAATACGGTAATACTGGGGGAATGGGGCCTAATATGAGGCAAGATGTCAAGACAGCTTGAGGTATAAAAAAAAGCTCCGTGACAATTCAGCAAGCAAGATATTTTAACCACTGAAGCTAGGGAGCAGAACACAGCAGACGCCTCAGGGGCTGCTGCCTGATGACCCTCAGTCCCAGTGAGGCCCAGGAAGAGGCTGGCAGGGGAAGGGCCCATCACTGACGTGAAAACCCAAGTGCAAGGGCGCTGCTGCACCTGATGGAGTCTGCCTGTTTCTTGCTAACTTTTAAAACTATCTTTGAAAACTAACAGAAAGAGAAGGGAAAGAAGACAGCTCTCTAGCACCTGCATCCCAAGCCCATCTTATTTACTGGAACCTCATCTCACTCATTCTTCACAAATGGCATACAGGACAGTGAGCCTCAGAAACAAATAACTTGCTCACACTCCAGAGTTAAGTGCCAAAAAACTGTGTAACTGCCTGCAGCCATGAACACAGAAATGGACTCCAGGTTTTCTTAATAGTTTCTTTTTTGAGACAAGGTCTTCCTATGTAGCCCAGGCTGGTCTCCAGCTTGAAGCGATCCTCCTGCCTTAGCCTTCCTAGTGCTGAGATTACAGGCGTGCACTACCATCCCTGGCTCAACAGCATCTCAAAAGGTCCATGACTTCTCAGTCAGGAGCGGCAACTGGAATGTAACTTACGAAATTGGCAGCATCCATGATTCCATCTTCTACAGGATGTGTGCAGTCAAGGGTGAACTTCAGGACCTGCTTCTTTTTTTTGCCCCCCTTTGCCACAAGCTTTTTCTAAGAAAGCATACAGATAACAGAGATGAAACTGTAACTAGTCAACAAAAATTAGCAGAACCAGAAACTTCAGACACATAAAAGCTCACACAATACATAATCCACGGAGATGGGGACCCTCACAAGAGCACCAGAAGCAGCACTCCCCCCAAGAGCGGCAGCATCAGAAGATGCTGCTCCATAAATTTAAGCACCTTGGGGGCTGGGGAAGACCACGACTTCTGAATGAGAAAATCATTCTAGCCCTTGACCCAGTCAGTATCTCCCACCTCCCCAGTCTCTACGAAGGTTAAGGGATTCCCTTTGACTTGACCTAAAATTTCCCAACACATTTAGGTGCCAGGATTAGAGCACAGCCATCTAAATGAAAACACAACTAGAACAATTTTGTGTGAAATCAATCCTTGCCCTGTGTCTCCAGACTAGGGTCCTCATCCTTTACCCCTCCTCCCATAATCCTGTCACCCCTACCTTCTCAGGAACAGCACACAGAACTGCCAAGTATTCTGGCTGCTGGTCCACTGCAGCTTGGACAAAGTTAAGGCCAAAACTTACAACTTTATTTTAACACTGCTGTCAACAATTTCTGGCCTCCTGTTAGCCTTAACTTACGAATTAGCATTTTCAAACCACCCAGTAAAGCACATTGTATGAGGCTGCAGACTAATAAAGTAATATATCTGTAGTTACCTGTATTTTTACCTCAGAAAGTTTGCACAATCTAAAAATATCTTTCCAAGAATGCATCTTACCTCCCTTCCTGTTTGAAAGACCACCTAAAACGTATCAAACTGGGTCAACTTTTTATACAGCCACTAGCAAAAAAAACCCTCATTCTTTTACAATGTATCTTGCCCGTAACAAAAGGATTACTTTAAAATCTACCCCAGAAACACACGATTAGCAAGCAGACCCACCCACAATGGGCTTGGCAGCTACCACTGGTACCAAGGTTTTAAACTAGAAACATCCAAATGCACAGGCGTATTTACAAGTCCGTCCAGCCAGAAAGACTCTAGAGAACCGGAAATATAAGCCAGGAAATCCCAACTGAAGAATAAAATAGGCTCACAATCAACTCTTTTCAAGTAATCTGCGAGAAGTGCAACCTGCAACCAAGGTGGCACGAGATGGCCACACAGCCTAGCCAATGCCAAAAGGGGTCTGCAAGGCTGCACCCTAACAGACTAATTTCCTCGGGGGACTCAAGCTCAGGGCCCCTCTCTGAAGCCAGGTCACCCTTCAGCGATTCATTTTCCCTCATCTCGGCCATGGGCTTCCGAATGTGCGACTCCCCGGGGTGACAAGTCTCCCCTCATCTCCGCCCCTCGCCTGGGTAACCAGATCCAGCGCCAGGAACCAGGCAAGCGCGCAGCCTCCGGACTGTAGTCCTCCGCTGGACCTGGGCAGGCGTCCGAGCTGCCCCCGGGGCCTCCGAGAGCACCCTGATCTCCCACAGAGGGCCCAGGCAGCGGCCTCCTCCGCCCACAACGTGCTGGGCTCGGCGGCTGGCCCGGCCAGCCCCGACTGGCCTGCTAGTCCCCCGCGGACGGACGCTGCAGGGCGCCATCCCCCGCGAGCCTGGGCCTCAGCCAGCCCGGCGAGGCCCACGTGCGCCCGCAGGAGCCAAGGCCTCACGCGGAGGTATACTAACCACGGGCGCCATGGCGGCCGAGGGATCAGAAAGGGAGGCGAACACAGTACGCAGACGCAAAGAGCCGCGGCACGCAGGGCACGCAGGGCCCAGGCAGCACTAATCGCTCGGCCCCGCCCCTCGACCTCCGTTTCTCGCTCGGCTAAGGACGCTCGGCGAGCGATTGGTTTTACCTGAATGCAAAGTTTGTCCTCTCCAGGGCTGGAGGGAGCCCAGGATGGAGGCCGGGCGGACTGACCCACTGCGGGCGATCGGAGGGGGGGAGCCAGACTGGACGAGCCCAAAGAGAAATAAACAGGTTAGCTGTACTTTAGGAAGTCTTGGGGGGAAAAAAAAAAGAATAGGTACATTCACTAAGCCAAAAATTACCAGCTACTGAGATGGGGCTGGACCCTACTAACGGAGAGGGTGGGGAAATCCCTTCTGGCCCGGGAAATTTAGTCGGTCGGAAGTCCCAAGGCTCGAGACCACGCTGGCTTAATCCTTCCTAAAGAGTTTAGGATACTCGTGCCCCGGGGCTGAGTCTTACCTGACAGCCTGGGTTCAATCCCCAGTACAAAATAAAATCCCAGTTTAGCTCTCTCTCTTTCCCCAGTACTGGAGTTGAACTCAGAGCCTTAAGCATGCTAGGCAAGCTCAACGCGAGCTACATCCCCTACTCCTTACCCCCTTTTTTGTGACGTAGGGCCTCACTGAATTGCCCAGGTTGGCCCCAAACTTGCCAGCCTCCTGTCAGCCTCCATACCTGGGATCGCAGGTGTGCGTGTGCGTGACCACTCCCAGTTTAGCAAGGGTCTTCCTCCCTAGCTCCACAGCCATGGACTGGACCACTCTCATCTCCTCAGACCCCCCTTGTGTTGGGGAGTCAGATTTCAGGGTCCTGAGTTCTGATCACTCCGTTGCATTGGCACTCTCCGCTGTCATTACCTGGCTTCAATACACTCCCCAGCAAAAGCTCAACCTGTCTTATAATCATTCATTACAGGAAGCACCTTATGCTGACTGGTCTAGGTTCAACTCAGGCCTCTGGTGCCAGATGACTGTGCTGCAAAGCCACTCGCTGTTCTTGACTTTGCAGTTGTTTTTGTGAGATAGAGTCTCATTTTGTAGTTCAGGCTGGCCTTGAACTGGTGGTGATCCTCCTGCCTCAGCCTCCCAAGTGCTTGGATTGCAGATATGCACCACCATGCCTCTAGCATCATTAAAAAGAAAAAAAGCAATCTTTTATATTAAATTCTCTCTGTTAAGAACTACAAACATCCAGATATTATAGATAGATGAGCTAGGTAAAAATACTATAGACAGATAAGGCTAAGTCCTGGAGAGGGACAGGACAAAGGTGAAACACACCATAGCTACACATCAGCTAAAAACCAGGCCTCAAGATGACCAGACCCACAGATTTCTTCAAAGAACCAGGCTTCATAAAGCATAGATAGACATCGACCACCCTGGGGGTGACCAGAGACCTCTGGACCCACCGCCCCCTAGGAGAATCCTTGTTCTTTCCATCCACACTTGCTACATAACTTGCTTCCCAATTGGACCACCATTGCCTAAGTGACTGTACCTGTAACCTTACTGGATGTTCATGGCTGTGGCCCACGTTGTGCTCATGTGAGCTTCACCCTATAAAACTCCTCTGTAAAGTGGGGTCCTTGGCTACCCACTCAGGACCCCTCCTCCCCTCAGGAGCTTTCCTATCAATAAACATCTTCCTGCTTTTAACCTCCGTCATTCCTAGGACTCATTCTTTGATTTCTAAAAAATAAAAATTCAGCATATCATACAGTTATCAGGTTGGGAGATACAATATTTCATATTTCCCGTGACACAGACACGAGATCGCATGCCTGTAATTTTAGCACTCTGAGAGGCTGAGGCAGGAAGATGACAAATTCCAGTCCAGCCTGACTTCAATCCCCAGAGCCACCAAACAAAGTGCAGACCGACCGTCCCCAACTTATTTACAATGGTAGAAAAGCGGTCTCTGTCCCTGTCTCTGTCTGTCTGTCTCTCTCAGTGTTGGGCGGCAGCAGGGAGCTACAGTTCCCAGTTAGCCATGGGAGCTTTACTGCTGGTGGACAGAAGAAAGAAAGCAGAGTAGCAAGACCCACGTCTACTCTGCTTCCTCCTGGAGAACTCCTGCCCATTCATTTACAAAGCATCCCCCAGGTGGTTACATACCAGCCCCTCCACCTCCCAGGGTAACATTTCTGAGCCTCTGAGCAGTCACCAGGGTTAAATGAGTTAATGAAAGTGCAAGTACCTCTGCCCATTGTTTCTAGTGTCCTAACTGGGAGCACAGACAACCAACCGGGACTAGAGAAGACTCTTGCAAGCACAGCTAGCATCTAGGTAAAATTTACTTCTTTTCCTGTCAAACTCCTATCTTCCTTCAAAACCCAGCTGGAACTCACCGAGAGAGAAATAGGGCAAACAATTCCTTTCACAATAGCATCCAAAAAACTGAAATACCTAGGAATCAACCTAACAAAAGAAATCAAAGACCTCTTCT